AAGAGTCGTTCATTTCAACAGACTAGCACCATTCGAGGGAACACAAGATCAACAAGTTCAACAAATTTGTCCGGAAGGAAAGGAGCTTACATTCGACGAATTCATAGGGACTTACAGTGGTTCATCAAAAGCAAGGTTTGGCGTCACCAAGGAAGAGCACCGCGACCTTTTTGCCATTCCTGTAGAATACGCACTAGCTCACTGCGTCGCCGAGGATCTTCAGATGTCTCAAGGAATAGCGAACAAGTTCATGAGGAAGTTTGGGAAGTTAGAGGAGCTTCATCAACAAGGTCCCTCCGTCGGTCGAGCACTAGAAATAGAAGATATCAGCGCTGAAGGGAAAAGGTCTCTGTTTTATCTTATAACGAAGGGAAGATCTTCTGAGAAACCCACTTACAAGGACCTCTGGGAGACGCTAGTCGACTTGCGAAGCACCATACTCGAGAAGGACATACAGAAGATTGCTGTTCCAAAGGTGGGGTGTGGACTGGATGGCTCGAATTGGAGAATTGTAAGGAACATGCTAGAGGTTTTATTTAGATTCACCGGAGTTGAGATTCTGGTATGCTGCTGGAACTCCAAAGGAACTCCAAGAGAGAAGACAGTGCCATGCTATTTCTACCATACTGCACGTTGTAAAAATGAAACCAGTTGTCCCTATCTTCATAACGATCAGAGTGCATTCCAGGAGGAATGCGTTTCAAGGAGGGGGCAGTGTAATGATATTTCCCTTGGAGGCGCTTTAGAAACATCAGCAGGAAGGCAGGAGTACAACGATCATCCTGTATCACGCATCCCAGATTGCTCTCCAACCTCTCAATGATTCCTATATACACCAACATATTTCCGAACATATATATGCCGCGGTGACAGATAACGTCACAGAAGATTCTGGAATGTTCTGGAAACAATCGATGGAACAATTAGAGAGAGAGGTTTGTTCTAAGAAGCTTCTAGAACAAAAAGAAGGAGACGGAAGATCGTTCGAGAAGGTTCTCGACCAAAGCCTGCCATGTGTTCTTATATATAAGACGACCAAACAACTGAGTCAGTCAGTCAAACAGCGAGTGTCAGAGAGACAGTTATATACCGCGTGTTATAAATCGTTTTACATAAATAGTAGTTATAAGTTCGATATAAATTAGTGTTTCTTTAGTTTAAATAAATCAGTTCGAAAATAAATAGTGTCGTGTTCGCTTCTGCACCCGAATAACGTTACAATATTATTTCCTCTTCGTTCCGCACTCATGCACCAGTATCTATCGCACTCTGTTTCACTCACTGTGCATGACCCATCTAAAGTTGCACGTTGTCATTCAAAGCGCTATAAAAAGTTTATTTTTGAATCGTGCGAAAAGTTTATTCGAAACAAATTGTTCGTTACACTTCAATCTATCTAGATGGGAGAAAAAAATTGAAATTCATATCGTGAAAAAGAAAGTTATTATCAATTGAAGAGGTGTTGATGCTGAATTACTCATGTATTGCGTGACAAAAAATTTATTTTCACATATAAAAAACTCAATTTTGCCAGTTTATATACCATGGATCGAATCTTCATAATATCCTCAACGAAATGATGAAAAGTTGAGGCATCTAAGTTATGTAGTCTCCAAAGTTACAAAGGTTTATACATTTACATGCGAAGTAGTTTTTTTTTGTAATTTTTGAGTTTGTTCGTTTATAACTTTTTTCGGTACCATAGAAAAAAGTAGTCAAGCTGGATTCTAATGATTCAATTGTTTCTAGATAGGATAGTGAGGGTCTGATATCTTTCTACTTCCAAAAATTTTTTCGATTACTTTTACCTTGTGTCCCTCTACACTATATGTATAGCGTCGTATAACAACAAATAACGACATTCTCACTAGAACAATCGCAGTGCGACTGAGTAAGGTGTAGTGTCGCCACAGGCATAGGTTTTTTCGAGCAAGCTATGCTATCAAGAACGAGCAAGATATCAATCTGACATGATTGATTATTCTATCTGTTTATATTAAATCCATAACAAAACCATGAAAATGCCATAGCTTATTGAAGAGTTACAAACAGTTGATTCTTCGATGAGTTAACGAAGAGAATCATGAAACCGACCCTAGGCATCTTATTCATAATTTCGAAAGGGACCTAAGTTCCCAATATGGCTATTCGGTCAAATGTTCAGTTGATGGATTTATTGAATTTATTGATGATTGTCGTGTCAAGTCATATATACAGTGTGTCCATTTAGTGCGTAATTCTTCGATATCTCGAAAGCCATAACCTATAGAGAAAAACTTCGGATGAAAAACTTTTTCAGTTACTAAATTTGCTCATTTCAAAATTATTTTCAACATTACTGGGTGTTTTATAAAAGCAGGGCAACTCGAAGAAGAGTTTTTTTAAATGGAACACCCAGTATTGTTCATTCGGAATTAATTCCGTCGAGGTTCACCTTCACATCGCTGTAAAAAGAATTGAAATCGGTTGCGGCGTTGCCAAGTTATAATTGATAAATCTATTTTTACCATTATTGAAGAGTCATGTTGAATTGGGCATGGTATATTCATTTATTCAGATCTTGAAAATATTTTTGGCATACAGTAGGAGCAAGGTCCAACGTATACCAATCCAGTAATTTTGGGACATGTTCTTCAACAGGGTGCTCAATTTTGCATTTAGAATTTTGCAAGATTCAGATGACATTCATCAGAATTTTTCAAATGGAACACCCTGTATTTTTATTCAAGAATTCATTTCGACATCTTTCGCCTTTTTATCGCTGGAAAAAAAATCGGAATCGGTTGCGGCGTTGTCAAGTTATGGTTGATTTCCTTATTTTCACTACTATTTCGGGGTAATTTGTACGTCATAGTTCTTTCATTCATTTGTATTGTGGAAATATTGCGTTGCTACGGTATAATCAAATTTGTTCATTGACCATTCATATATTTTTTTACAAAAGGAACATCTACAGGCTCTCCAAGTTTGAATTTTGTTCGAAATATTTGTGTAATGACCTGTCAAACATCGCTACAATCATATCTTGGATTGATTCGAAATTTTGCTGAATTTCCTCCCAAGAGCCGCGTAGTTGAGACATATTGTTTGTATCATTATGTTTACCTTCTTCAAGGAGAATGGAGATTTGGATTGTGGGAATAACTACAATAAAAATGGCGCGAATTTCGAAAAATTTTCCTACTTTTCGCAATCCGCATCTTCATTGTTTGTATTGTAGAAGTTATTTCAAAGACAGGCGTTGCTTTTGCCATGTTTGTTTGTTTCACATATTATTTGAATCATAAGTAGCAAGATTACGGAATATTTCAAATTTGGACGATGCACATATCACAAAAATACCTGAATGATCTATGTAGAACCTCGAATGTCATGTGGCAAGCAATATTTCCACACTCAAATCGAATTAAGGAACCATCAGGACGAACAAATTACCCCGAAATAGTAGCAAAAATAAGGAAATTACTCATAACCTGAAAACGCCGCAACCGATTTTGATTTTTTCTCCTGCGATGAAAAGACGAATGATGTAGAAATAAATTCGTGATGAAAAATACAGGGTGTTCCATTTGAAAATTTCTCATGATCGTCGTCTGAATCTTACAATATTCAGAATGTAAATTTTGGCACCCTGTAGAGGATTATCTCGCAAGATTACTGGATTGGTATACGTAAGACCTTGCTACTACTGTATGCCAAAAATATTTTCGAAATTTCAATAAATAAATATACCATACCCAATTGAACATGACCCTTCAATAGTAGTAAAAATGGGTAAATCAATTATAACTTGGCAACGCCGCAACCAAATTCAATTTTTTTTACAGCGATGTAGAGCTGAATTCGAGTGGAATAAATTTCGAATGAACAATACTGGGTGTTCCATTTGAAAAAACTCGTCTTCGAGTTGCCCCGCTTTTATGGAACACCCAGTATCGTTGAAAATATTTTCGAAACGAGCAACTTCAGTAACTGAGAAAGTTTTTTTTCCAAAGTTTTTCTCTTGTGATAATTGATTTCGAGATATCGAAGAATTACGCACTAAATGGACACACTGTATATCTATGTATGCCAATGGAGCTGAACTTCGGAAAAATGTAAACTTACTCATCCCATATTGCGCCCAATCTGTGTGGCGAGTTTGCTCTAACTTTTCAAGCGACAATAACGGAACCTTACTTCTGAAAGTATGACAACCAGCCATAAACAAATGTTTGATGAATCAAATTGTCTTACCAAATTACACTCAATCTCATTTTTTAGTCGAGGCATTTATAATTCGAATTTTGTTGCCATCTGGTATATTAACTCGAAAAACTGCCAGCAAAAATTACTCGTCCTACGGACTTCAGAGGCAGTTTTTTTCGTCAAATTGCCAGGCAAAAAAATTCTTATTGATACATGTCAAGTTTACTTCGACGAAACAAAAAGCTCTCGTGTAATTAATTATAAGTGATAACAAAACGAGCGAGATATCGCTCAATCGAGCGAGCTGTGGCAACGCTGGAAAGTTTTTGTAGATACTTCAATCGAGACTTCAATAATAGATTGGTGTGTTTTATACACCGGCGCGAGTAGTTGAAAGGTAATGACAACCTGTATAATAAGTTTTGTCAATTCTTCATGGCAATTGTGAATTGATGAAATAAAACCATAACTGATTCTAAAATGTGCGACCTCAAATATTTCATAAACGGCTCAACAATATCAACAAACTATATATTTATGAAATCAGAAAAAGAAGATCTTCAATTTTTACGAACATTTTATAGGGTGTTCCGTTGAAAATCACGAAGTTGGTATCCATTTCTTATATCAGCGATATTCATTTGTTTCACTTCGTGTACAATTTTCTGAAGGTTCAGAACAGACCCCACAACTTCTGTAGTCGAGATTTACTTCAACTTCATTGATGAACTCTATGAAAGCTGTTTGAATATACAGTGTACACTCAAGAAAGTTCTAGAATGAATGAAATTATTTTTGTGTATTTTGTATTTATCTGTATTTCATAATAATTATACATGAATCTGATATACCTACAATTGCACAATCTTATCAATACATATTTGTTTGCTACTGATCCATCATTATTCAATCCAAAAATATCCTGGAAAATCTTCTGATACGTTTCCATGTCGTTTTGAATCAAAAAAGCAGAATTTAGTATGGAAACGTTCACTCAGTTGATAGATCTTGTTTTATTTTGAACATTCTGGTATGAAAGAGTAGGAGTTTTCATGAATGTTCATATTATGAATATCCATCAGATGTCTATTAGATATCTAAATCTTTGGATATCCATACCTCAGTATATTTTCAATATGAGCGGACATTCAGATATCCATGGGATGTATTTATTTATTTATTTATTTATTTACATAGGTTACCCAACAGGACAAGCCCAATAACAGGATAACACACGATAACAATTAAAATAACAATTGTGTAATCTTGAAATACCAAAAAAAAAATTGAGAGGATATAAAAAAAAAACTTAATCTAGTTTACAGATCCAAAGCAAAATATATGAAATTCGGCTAAGTGAGCATAATACAAGTGTTTAAGAACTTCCTCAGTTTCTTTTTGAAGCACTCAACGCTAAGCATAAAAATGTCCAAATCATCAGATATCATGGTGTTGATTGTGACCGTACATCTAATCATTGGAGAATTACCAAAATAATTTGTGGAAAAATAAGGAGTAACAAATAGTTGTCTATGACGAATATTATATGAGGAACAGTTTAGTGTAAAAAGTTTAGAACATTCATTGGAATCAATTAGATTATTAAATATTTTGTAAATAAAGTATATATCATTGAAATCACGCCTAAGAGATAGGCTCACTAGATTATAGAAAATTAGGTTACTTTCATAAGGAAAGTAGTGCCTATATCTGAAGAATCTATAATTTATAATGTTGATTAACTTCTTTTGCACAAACTCTAGTCTCTTTATGTATTTCTGATAAGATGGGTTCCAAACAACACTACAGTATTCAAGGATAGGTTTTATCAAAGTGTTAAACATAATCAGTAACGAGGAAGGATTCCTAAAATCCCTAGTATTTCTCAATATGAAGCCAAGAGTCCTTAGGGACTTTCTCACAATTTTCTCAATATGACTTTCAAAGGACAATTTTGTATCCAAAGTAACACCTAAGTCAACTATCTCATCAGAAAACGACAGTTTATCATTGTCAATATTGAGCGAAGAGATGGGTGGATTCGGGCTACGAGTAAATATGATTTGACTACATTTCTTAGTATTTAGTGAAAATTTATATATTTTACAATATTCCGAAAAGCGATCGAGGTCCTCCTGTATTAAACTATAATCCGAGAGAGATTTTAAAGGAGAGAAAATTTTCATATCATCGGCATATAATGAGATATTGCAGTGATGGAAACAGCTCCCGACGTCACTTACATAGATACTAAATAGTAGCGGCCCTAGATGGGAGCCCTGAGGAACCCCCGAGGTAACTGGCAGCAAATCAGACTTTGTGTTATTCAGTGCTATGTACTGAAATCTGTCCTGAACATATGAAGTAACAAGTCCCAGCAGGTAACCATGCACACCGAAATTTCTAAGCCTTATTAACAAGGTAGGATGATGAACCTTGTCAAAAGCCTTAGAAAAATCGGTGTACACCGCACAAGTTGAGATCCCCTTCTCTATGTTGCCATAAATATCTTGTACATAGGGCACTAGGTTTGTAAGTGCAGAACGCTTTTTGAAAAAACCATGTTGAGTAGTGATGATAGAATTTTTGACCATAAAAAACATTATCTTACAAATTATAAATTCAAATATTTTACCAAATAAACTTAGCAGATATATCGGCCTGTAATTTGTAGCATCGTTAATGTCTCCCGATTTGTGTATCGGTAACACTTGAGCTATTTTCCAAACTTTGGGATATGTACCTTCACGTAGACATTTATTGTACAGTATGTGAAGGGGCTCAACCAGACTTTCCTTACATGATTTCAAAAATACTGCAGGGAAACCATGTATAATGTATAATGAATATCCATGTTCATTCAGTGAATATACTGGATATCCATAAAATATATCTTATAGATATCTAATGGCTATTGTTTGCTCTCTGGGACCCTACACAATCTATCCTCCAAATCGACATTGAATACTGAAATAGGTAGTTTCAAGCATTTGTGGAATCTAGTGGTTTTTCATGCTAGATCAGTTGGTGGCAGCTAATAGTTATAGGTAGCTAAAACATTATTCCCAATATTCTTGAATCTTTCTCATGTGTTAAATGATTTCTTTGGTTTTCCTATTATTTGGATCCTTTTTGAAATATTCTTCTAACTCGTTAATGTTGTAGAACACTACGAAACCTTTAGGTGAAAGTCCTTCGAAGACCGAATATACCGACGGTTTGAGGTTGACAAAGAACAAGGGTTGATTTCTGGAAGTGAAATCATTCGTCAACATATGTATCACTGTAGCTGCCGAGTAATCAGCTCCATAAATGTGCGTACAATCAATCACAACCGGTATTCCTTGTCGTTTGCTGTGTTTCAGGACAAGATTCCGGACATAGTCGACTGAAGGAAATATCAAACTGCGATCGGGTGTCAGCATGAGGTATTCTACACCATCTGGAGTCTGAAAATAAATTATGAATGAGTACATCTCACCCTACTCAAAAATGTATTCGATGAAGATTCATAATATTTTGATGCTGCCATTTTATAGTACCTAGTTGATTATGGTTACCATCAATCAGGAACGTGACATTCAAAAGCAGTCAGGGTGATTTACGTAGGCCACAAATCAGGAGTTCCCCATCTACCAGAGATATTTTCAGTCCTTCAACTGTACAGGGTGTGCCTGAAGTCGGTGGATAGCATCTTTTTTATTTTAAATGGAATATTGATTTTGTTTCACACGGTTGGATTGACTTTATTTTTATGAGTTTAGATATTTCAATTCATGTCAACTTATCTATCATAGTTTCCGAGATATATGGACTTATCATAAAATGAATACCGCCGTAGCAGTTCACGAAAACATTTTTTCTGTGACGGGAAAGAAGTTTGACTTTTCATCTCTGTTGGCAGGTTATAAAATGTCACTTTTCATAAATTACTTTTTTCCCGTGGGAGAAAATGAGTGAACAATTTTTCCCGGATATATATTACATATATTTACACCGTTGATGGCTCTTGTTGTTCTGAAGTTCCAAAAAATGAGTCAATAATACCGTCTCCGAGAGAGAACTGCAAGTCCTTTGATCTTCCATTCGACTTCGTGGTTACGTAAATAACTAAACAACCACTAAATTCGCAATTTTTCGAAATGAAATCACAGAATTAGACTGACGACAGAAGTAACATCAGATATTTGATTACTTCAAAAGAATGATAAAGATGCCTACAACGCAGGTGTCCCTACTGTTAAAAACTTAAATTTTCACGTCGATGATATTCAGATTTCAAAATGATGTAATATCCCCTCAATATTGATTCGTCCTTCCTTTTGTCACAGGAAAAAATAGTGTATTATACATGGAAAAAATATTAGGTTTTATCTACTACTTTTTTTCCTTGTATAATAGATAAATATTATTTAGCAAACCGTTCAAAATTAGAGCATCAAGTTTGTGGAACTGTTAGCTGAAAGTCCAGGCAAGAAATTTGAATTTGTGGATTAGTTACTCTAGAATTCTATATTTCTACCGTTCAGGCCCTTCGTTTCCTAGAATTATTTTTCAAACTCAAACTTAATAACCCCGTTGTCAGGTCTTTCCGTAAACCCTCATTTGCATAGCTACACTTATACCCCAAAATATTACACTGTGTTGTTAAGACCTAGGTGTGCACTGCATTTGGTCAACAATTCGATTTATCAACATTTTGGTTTTCCTATATTTCGATTCGACCACCTTCATTGAAGTCCACATTGCGATTCACCTATAGTCTCTGTTCATGTTCGGTGACAATAGCAAAGAAAATTCAAATCTCTTATGTCTCGCGTACCGCAACTGTCATGGCCGCCTGAAATAGTGGAGCATCCAAACCGATAGATGGTATTTGTCAGTATTTTTGTGCCGCCATCATATATTTTTTCATTTCTCTGTGAAATGGGTGTGATCAGTTTCAAGAAGGGATAATCAATTAAAATATCGAATCAAATCTCGAATACAGGTACCAAAGGAGAGTTATATGATGTAGTTATTACATTCATTATTTAACAAATAGATCCAGAGATTGTCATGAAGGAAATGTAAATGATTGATAAAATAGAATTCCATGAAATGTAATTCTCGTTATTCATAAATGAATCAAATACATTACAATTTGGCGATGAGGTAAATGAGTATTACGGAGCAGGACGCTGCAGGTGATCTTCCAAATCCAGAACGAACAGTTAAGATGAGTCTATCACGAGTAACTATTCCTGACTTTAATATTGGAAAATACTGGTGTTCATATGAAACAGTTGAATTCTACGAAATGGAGCAGTACAAAAATGAGTTGGTGAAACAATGGTATGCCCGAATCAAGATTGAAGCAATCAATTGCAAATTTGAAAATTCTTCATCAGATATTCTTAGAGATAAGTTTATTTCTGAAATGCGGAAGGAATCCATTTTAGAGAGGATATGTGAAGAGGGGCATACAGCAAAGTTGAAGCTAGTTCTTGAGTCGGCGTTGAGGAACGAAACTAGATTTGGCAGTTGGTGGAACTAACATGAGACTAGGCAGATCGAATGGAATTTCAGATGAAAGAAAAAGTCCAAGTGGAAGAAGAAAAGAAGTAGGAAGTTCAGGTTTGGAATGTAAATATGAAGATTCTACTTGTAGAATTTGAAAGAAAGTAGGACATTTAGCGACAGTTTGTCATTTTAATAATCATTTCGTTGAGATTGGAGATAATAATGAAGAAATTAATTCTCAAAATAAGGCAGATAATCATTTTATGGAGATGTATTATTTCAATGATACTTATTTTTTGAATCCAGAGAGAGTTGCAATGATTATTAATGATAAACCATTATTGATGGAGTTGGATTCTGGAGCAGGAATTTCAGTCCTACCGGAAAATGTATTCAACGAATTATTTGAAAATCTACTTCTGAAACCCACTTTGATAAGGCTGAAATCATATGATGAAAAAAAGGATACATCCAGAAGGATATATTTTTGCTGAAATGCAGTATCGAGATTTGATTTAAAAAAATTGCAAACTCATTGTTGTTAAAAATGGTTCAATACCGTTGTTAGGTAGAGATTTGATGAATGTATTCAATTTCAAGATAGGCGATACTGATGAGACTTTCATTACCAACATTGATTCTAGTAATGGGTTGAATATGTTATGAATGAAATATGATGCATTATTCAAAGAGGAATTGAATTTGTACAAATATGAAAAAATTTAAATCAGAAGATGGAGTCAGACCAATTTTTTGCAAACCGCATGACCTATTCCATTTGTACTTAAACAAGTGATCAATGAGGAGCTGGACGAGGGAGAAAAGCGAGGGGTGGTTTCATTTTTTTTTTCGTTATTTTTTCTTCAACGTTTCACCTATCCTGAAGTGCATAAAATAGTATAGACATCTCGGGACAGAAGTGTTTTTAAATCCCTCGACAAATTATAGCCCTCACGTTGGTGGGGCTATAAACTTTTTGTCTAGGGATTCGAAAAACCACTTCATTCCTTAGGTGTATAATGTACTATTATAGTGCTCAAAACTCCTAGTATACCGACGTTCTTTCTGGGGCCTCAGTTGTTACCGTAGTAGGCTGAGGAAAAGGCAAATAGCAAAATAATGCATACCAAATGTAGTAGAGATTACCAAAGTTTAGGTACCTACTAATCCTATACCATAGCAATAAAAAACACCTGTGAAATCTTTCAATTATTGTAGAGCATGATCGACTTTTGTGTTGCCTATATTCTACTTTCATGGACAATGAATCATTGTTTATCACGCAGCTGAAAAAATAGAGTTTCTATGTTAGGTATTTATAGGTATACTTACTTTCAAATTCTCGAAACTCAGTTTTGGTCTTGCAGCATGGTAGAGTATGGAAATAATATTGATACCAATGCCTACTAGGATTCCGATCTCCATCCTCAGTATTAGGCAAGCAATAAACGTTGCACAGAACACGACGAAACAGCTTTCTGAAATGATAAAACTATATGGAAATACCCTCTTAGTAATACTGACAAATCAAATGAAATGCTTCAAAATGTCCCTGCGTTTGAAATTTTTTTATTAGATACCCAAAAGAGACATTCAATCGATAGTCAGGGACATTTTGTTTCGAAAATGTTCGAAGAAGAAGAATTACGAAAAATTCAAATTTCACTCGTCTTTGGACGCTTAGGGAACAAATCTGCTGCATGAAATTGAAAAATAATTGTTGTGACTGATATTTTCGTCTTTTGAAATTTCTCAGTGACAAAAGATATAGTTACAGGCCATTTCTCAAATTCATGTCGAATATATCATTCTCATACTCAAAGGACCCCACACAGAAGCATAGGAAATTAGCTCACAGTGAGATTTGCCTGAAATTCACATATTATATTATTGTAATTGAGTTCCTAATCGAATGTTCGCAAGGGCCTAATCCTCTAAGACCAATGACTTAGCCGTTACCACCGATAAAACAAGGCCTGCATGCTCCGTGGGTGACGTCACTTAGTCAGGCCTAACCAGTGGCTCGAAACGACAAGCGCTTATAGCGCTATAAGGCGACCGCGTATTTCGATTTTAGTTTTAGATCATTATTGAGCCGATTTTGCTTTTTTTTTGAAGGGCTTCCGGTTGAAAGAGGATGCCAGCCGTCAACTGAGCCCTTCTTCGCATCCCATTCGATTTTATTATGGAAAAACGAAGTTTCAAAGCAAAAACCAGAATAAAACACAAATACCCACCTACAGCAACCCATTCGAATTAAATATATTGGCAAAAATTGTAGTGATTCAATCTCATTAAAGGTAAACTTCACACCTATACTTATACAGGGCCCGCAGAACATAAACTTATCATGAGATTGATCGAAAGAAAATTGGGGAAAATGTATTTTAGTTTGATAGACATGCCGTTTGTTATACCTAATTACCTATATTTATCTCGGAGAATTCCTATTACCTAAAAAATTAGCCAGTGAGTGTTTTCAATTTCCTGTTGTTGGATTTTTTACCCAATTGGTCGTTAGACTTGAAACAGTAATTTTTAAGTGTTTGTAGTACATAATAGTTGCAATTTGATCATTGGAATGAATTCTGCATTCATTGCCACGAGGCAAATGACCGTTTTCAGAAAGAAATTTGAGAATGTATTGAGTTAAAAATGCCCGTTTATTATGAACATTCAAGAATATTTCCTCGAATTCAGAGATGATTTTGTTGAATATAATATACGAATACAAAACTAACTGCACAATCAAAGCTCGCGGATAGAGTATTTTTCCTCTACTCATACTTTCCATGAGAGTGTAATTGTCTTCTATTATTAATTCATCACTATAAATTCAGTTCTGTTTACAAAATTCGCACGGAATTTTTCTAAGTGTAATATAGCAACAATAACCTGCTGAATAGGTTATTACCGGCATGTCATCACTATATTTGTCTACATCAGATTCCTCGACTATGATATCTGGATTGAAAGAATGATTTTCTTGGATTTCTTCGGTGGAATTAATATTTTCGTGGAAGCGCCTGATTTGTATATTACCGTAAGTACGAGATTTTAGCGTGAGCAGTGATTGAATTCTGAGCCTTTCTTCCGATTCATACAATTGTCGAATAGATATGTGATATTGTCCAGCTGAAAGTTGACGATATTTCCCGAACCTATGTTTCAAATCATCTGTTTGAAATTTTCCAAGTAAAACATAATTCATCTTGAGTTCGTTGGAACAATATTGTATAACTTCTATCATTCCATATATAGTGTGAATCAAAGCAGTATGTGTTTGGTTTGTTAGTTTATCAGTAGAATTTGCAGATTTCCAAGTTTCTAACCAATCTATTATTTTATGCAAGAAAATGAATTTTTCATCGGAACAAAAATTTATAGCTGTGATAGGTTCTTGAAACACATCATTCAAACGTTTGCCCTTGAGGGGTGTTTTGACATTCACAATTTTCCACCACTTGAGTATCAGGTTGATAAATCCAGCAGTGCCTTCAGAGTTTTCAATGTTTGATCCAAATTTTAAAAGAGCCTGTACTATGAAATCATTGAAAATTTTGAGAGCCAAAGCGACGTTTTGTCTTTCCATATTCGAGGGAAAAAGTGCCTTCAGGTTCAATGAATATCCAAAGTTTAATAATTTATCATGTTCTAATTCGTGAAGGGTTTTTGAACTATGAAAAAAAGCAACTCTTTCAACCCCTGTTTCAAAATCGGGATAATACAATTTCTGATCTGGTTTTGAATTGAGCCAATTATTCCTTATGCATTTCAACAAATGTACAGAATCAAAAAGATAAAAAAGAGGACGTGATGTATCTGCGGGATGAGGATAAACAATACTGAGTTTTGGTTTTTCTGCAAAATTACTCATAGCTTCACTGTTGACAGCATTATTGTCACTGATAATACAGAATATTCTGTAACCAATTTCCTCTAATCTATTTATGACTCTCTTTATTAAAGAACAAATCATGAGGTGATCTATTTTTGTTGTTGGACTTATATGGACAACTTCTTTCACATTTGACATAACGCTTGCTATTATGAAGACAAATGCGGAATTTGCTAAACATGAATTATTAAATGCCGTTCCTACAATATTGCCTGCCTTGTAATCTGAATATGGCTTTATATAACCTTCATCCATCATTAAAATGACATATTTTTCACGCTCACCTAATAACTTAAATACATTTTCTGCATGAGATGCACTTTTTCGATAGTTCCTTGTCCAACGGGAAACTAAAAGCATGAACTTTTGGACCACCCACATAATTCTCCCGACAAAAGGAAACACAACACTTGTAAGGCATTGTTATTTCGCCTATCACAACACGAAATATTTCACATAACAGTAAATTCTCCGCCAATTATTTTGATGAATAAACAGCAAGAGAATTCTAGCACACGCGATTTACCTACGCCACCGTTCTTAAACAAAAACAAACTGACGATCGATCGACGTGAATGCCTTGGAAGATGGCCTGAGTATGCGACGTCACGAGCTGTTTACGTCAGAGTCTGCTGGCCTTGTTTCATCGGTGGTAATGACTTAGCTCGCATGGTCGTATTGAATTACTTGAATATGAAATATTGCACAACCTCAGCATTTGTCTTCCAGCACAAAGTCTTCTGTGGAACATGGTTTCTTGTACCATTTCAGTGCATGCTTCACTGCTCATTTGATAGATGAATGTAGCTACACAAAGAAAGCTACATATGTATCTATCAAACGATCAATCAACCACTGAATCATTAGGACAATAAGAAATATGATAGTTATTACTGATTCGGTTTTTTGTGGATGACTCAATATAGTGTTTTACTTAATACGGTCCTGTAGGACAAAACATGTTTCACAGAGAACGTGTGCTAAAAGACAAATGCAGAGATTGTGCAATTTTTTCATTCCAATTGAATTCTGAATTGATGAGAAATAAAAAATTATGGGCTTGAAAAAAAAGTGCCATTGGTTATTTATTTGAACATTTGATCATAAGTCAATGCCAATAACAAACTGATATGTGAATTTCAGGCAAATCCCACTGTGGGCCAATTTCCTATGGGTTTGTGCGGGGTCCCTTGTCTTTGATACAAGTATATTGGAATAATCTCTGTTGGAATTGAACCTGTATTTTTATTCACAAAGACGAAGAAAAAATTCCAAAGATCAAGAAAAATCAATACTCCACCTCATCGATTAACCTGCACAGTTCGAATGAAGAGAAGTTGCAGTAATGAATGTATATGCGCCATTTCAACAAGAAAATTATGAAATACTCAGAACTATGAACATGACTATAAGTTTTGAACCCCAATTATTATTCAATCATCAGGATTTGTTTCGAGTATGAATGGAGAATGGAGTAATTGGTGAAGAGTTGTGCTTGAACTTTGAGACCATGTAGAGCTTATAGAGGGGATTAGTGATGAGAAATAGATCACTCCAACATATTTATAGAAAACTCAACTGAAAATCGGTGTAAAGTGGCAAATTATTATGTCGATCCTCTCAACGAATTGAATAGTGGTTAGATTGAGAGGCGTAAAAGCCTCAATAATTGTGATTATGAATGATATATATATGCTATGGGAATTATAATTGGGATTGACAGAATTTGATTATTTTTTTTCGGATATATTGAACATTTTATTGCGTAACTGTTTTCTTCAAGGGGTTTCGAGGACTTAGGAAATTATTCATGTAATCTTCATTTGATTCTAATCATAGTTTATCAACGATCTTTCTTTTTTTTCCTGCATAATGCCTGTCATATTGTTATTATTGTTCGAACCCATTATTTGAGATTCTGGTTGTCGACCAACCCCTGTGCCACAAAGGTGGATTAGCACTGATAAAATTGATAAGTGATTCAATGTAATTAATTGTAGTGTCATTTCATCGTTGATTGTCTACAGAAAGTAGGTATATAGGTTTTTATTGAAAATTCGTAGAAACAAAAAATAGTAGATTGTTTGATAAGGATCAAGAGTGATACATTGTTTGACAAGCGTTTCTTCCATTTGCGAGGCGGAGCATCTAGCAAAGCCGAGCGAAAGTAAAATTTGCGAGTTGAATAAAGTTACTTTTGATCCTATTTGATGCTATTTTTTCTGCAACCGAAAGAATCAACTAGAATGAATATGTGAAGTAACCACTAATGTGACTTACTTGACAGATTATTATAATACCTTTATCAAAATTATATAGGTGAGTAGATAGGAGCAAGACCTCACACTACTTTACGTTGGAATATTGGTGGACGATGACTTTACTTTGTTAAAATTTGTGTTGATATGCATCATCAGATACTACAGACACGAATTCAAAACTATACCTGAAAAGTGGATGCCTTGCCATATGTATGCAATGCCACAAATAATCCTTGTGGTGAGAATATTCTACCTGCATTTACAGATCACAAATATTCAATTTTCAAGGATGTTCGAATTGTAGTTTCAATATGAATATAGTACCAAAGAGTGACCTATTTGCGTATCCTATTGAATCGATGAATTCATTTGGACCAGGTGTTCACCCTAATAGCAAATACCGCGCCACAGTGCCAAGTATAGGAAAAATAAGTGGAAAACGTTAGGTTAGCGAGTATATCAATGATAATAATAGCGATTATTTATTACTCTCTATATTCCACTGTGTTTGGCTTGGTAATCAAATGAAAGTAAACAATATCGTTGTGTGAGACAAAAAGTATTGCTGGCCGTGATCATTCAAAAACAAGTTATCCAATCAATTAGATCCCGAGAATAGATGAAATACAGATCAAGCAAGTAAACGGTAGAAAATCCCATTGTGTGAAGCTCTTCGTCAAAATAAAAATGCACAATTAGTTTCATCAAGTACTTAAATCATGTTGAGTTTCAATCAAAATTGTGTACATGATTTCTCGGACAATAATTATACTTCTGAGACATTTTGTGTCATTCCAAAGGTTGATTATAAAATAGATACACCATCCGGTGCGGACCTGGATTGACACAAAGTTGTGTGAACCTGGAGTTAAAATCAACTCAAACCAACCATAACAATGTTGTTCACTCTCGATGACCTAGTACATCCTTCCTGTGAAATATTTCACTCCACTTTGAGCAATATGGACTTCTACCGAAGATTATCCTTTCTTAGGAACGAAAAGTGTTGCCTAGCAACATACCTATGTTTGTGTCATTGATAGGAACGTCAATGGTATTGAAATGGACGACTTTTGTGTGGATTGCAGCAAAAATATATTTTCAGCTATCAGCATGGAATATTCTTCAACGCTTCTTCAATACAGTACTTTTTTTTCAGTATAGAATGAGTTCATTTCCAGTCGAACTATTCGTTTCTGAGGATTTTCCTAAATCATGTCAACTCTTAATCCCAATTGGACACATTTATATTGCCTAAGGAAGTATTTTGAAGAACTTAAATATAATCTCCAGAAGTTCAGAAAAAATTTTAACTTTTACCTTTTCTTCCTATTCTCCCTAGGTACGCACAATGTTCTTCGAACATTATGGGGATTCCATTTCGTGCGCACCAAGCGATAAGAAAATACATGGTGATCTACGTTTAAGCTATGATGTCCGCGACAGTTTTTTCAGATAAAACACTCTTCATATTGTTAGTCCTATGGAATCTCCTTGGAGAGCTGAATTCGAAAATATTTCCCACGAAGGGTTTGTGTACAGTCGTGCGGCCGTTGAATTTAGAGTGCTCTTGTTACATGACATTGCTATTAAAAAAATAACAATGACGTCATGTTTCCTACGAGAATCATTCTGAATATACCTATAATTCGAATTCGAAAAAATATAAATATTGAAATTAAATCCGATAGTATGTTATAATTGGAAAACTCTGAATTGTGACAGCCGGTATATAGGAGATAGGTAGGTGCCTACCTATCAATTTCAGAAAATCCCAACGAAAAATATGCCCAGGTTCAAGTAAATCAGAATATCCCGAACATCTCTCAGTTTCTACTTTTTTTTTTTGTAAAAGATGTATATAACTCACTTTTTGATCTCCACATCGGCTTGACCACCTTAACTTCTACCATAAAGGCAACAGCAGCGATGATAACAGCACCCAACACGGCATTCGGGATGTAATAAAAATATGGAGTGAAGAATAGAAGAGATGCAATCACCAGGATACCCGTATAGAGCCCTCCTAAGGGGGTTCGCACACCACTCGAATTGTTGACAGCACTTCTTGCCAAGGCCCCCGTCCCTGGATATCCTTGCACAAATGAGTTACCTATATTACACAGGCCAATCGCAATGAGTTCTTGAGTTGCGTCGACTGGTTTACCATTTGCTGAAAGATGAGTATTTTCTTTACCATTTTCCATATATTATATTCACAAGTTGGATTCATGCAATATCACATAATTGAATTTAATTCGATTGAAAGACGAACTACAATATGATTGTTCATGATTGGTATCACAGGATAATCCCTTTTACTCAAGGAGCTCGAAACAGTTTATATTTTCTTTGAGAACTTACATATTATAAGTTGACTTAGTTTCAATCGTCTTCTAAAGATGCTGAAGATGCTTGTTGATGCAATGAAAAATCGATTAGGTTAGTTGTAGAACATTTTAGTATGATAATCATGTCTTTGGTCCTTGTCTTCGATACATGTGAGTTGAGTGATACGTTGCATTCTGGGCCAGTTAACAAAATCATAATGGGAATTGAAGATTATTTTCGTGATAAGGAGATAACATGAATGATAACATATCAGGAGTATTATTGTTCGATATGCGTAGCCCAATTGGCACAAAATGGCTCTGACTCTTTTGACAACATATTCTTACATCCAATGCGATCCTACATGAATTAAATCTTGATCAGATCGATTTGTCGATATGCATTTGTGATATTACCAGTGCTATAATATGTATTCATCCATACATTTCATTCAGCCATCAAGTTGGCCAACTACTGGTATTATCAAGAGAATCAGTTGTTATCAATAATTGTTATCCGAAAAGAAGATCTGTAATCATGTACAGGATACCCATAATAATGGGAGAACAAGCAATTCATGTTAACAAGCAACTTATACAGAGTGGACCAATAGTGTGACAAAGTGAGATAGCAACTCTGCTTTTATAGATAGAAGAAAAATTCACAGGAGTCGTGAGTTCAAGAGATGCATATTTCAAAATCATTCTTCATTATACAGTGTGTCTCAAAAAAGTATGACATATCAAACTTATGTTCTTTTAAATGGAACACTCTGTATTTCATTGCATATTTATATTCTCTTTGAAGAGCGGAATTCCATGATCTAGCACACTTGGGGTCTGGCGCGAAATATGAGTAGATAGTTAATCAAAGGTGTAACGAAGTTACTCAGATTTGATTACTCTCAGGGGAGACATCCTGTATACTTAGTATAGAGAATAACTATGATGATATTAACTTGAGTAAATGACAAGCTATCGGCGCCGTTCTTTTTCGTAACTGAATCATTTATTGCTCCGGGAGTAATACTGTAATTTGTTCGTGAGCGCGAATTAGAATTTTGATAGGTTGGATTAATCAGTAATTAAATGATAGCGAAATAGAGATATCCGAAGCATAGCCGAGACTCACGGACGGCGGTCGGCTGCGCGATAGCGCAATTTTCGCCCCACTCTCGGGTGAGAGTGGGAACCCGAGGCGAGCTCCGTCGATAGGAACCAAGAAAAGTTAGTTGTTGCTGACCGCATATACCGCTGTATACGCTGAGGAATAAAATAGAAAACGCTAGACCAATCCGCTTGATACCGCAAGTGATTGAAGAATAAAATATACTTACTTAGGTGAGTCCGCTTGATATGCAAACGATAACAGTGCTGCTTTTGTAGGTTGCAAGTACGGATACCGCCGTTCTTGAGTTTGCTTAGATCTCGTGAGTTTCAATTTAGTTGAACAGCACGGCTTTATTACTGGGCTACGCTCGTGATAAGACGGTGTTGCCGGATGAATTGAAATTACGAAGATTCCGGATATCCGATTCAGTTTATCAGTACGGTTCTATTTCTGGGCTACGCTCGTAATAGGACGGTGTTGCCGGATGCATTGGAAAACCGGAGATCTTGGAAACTTTTATTCAGCTGAACAGCACGGCTTTATTACTGGGCTACGCTCGTAATAGGACGGTGTTGCCGGATGCATTAAAGTGTGGTAGACCTTAGAGACTTTGGTCCAACTGCACAGCACGGCTTTATTACTGGGCTACGCTCGTAATAGGACGGTGTTGCCGGATGAATTGGAAAACCGGAGATCTTGGAATCTTTTATTCAACTGTACAGCACGGCTCCATTACTGGGTCACGCTCGTAGTAGGACGGTGTTGCCGGATGAATCAGAGTACGGGAGTTCTGGAAATCTTCGATCCAATTGTACAGCACGGCTCTATCACTGGGTCACGCTCGTGATAGGACGGTGTTGCCAAGTGCATCGAAAAAAAAAGGAGATTACCTGTCGGAGTCAACCGAAGCACTGCAACTGCACTTTCATTTTACTATTAACTGCTTGTGCTTGAAAATAAAAGTTTGATTTGAGCTGGAGAGCTAGCCCTGCCAAAAATACCTTATGAAGTCTCATGAAGAAATATAGATAAAATATGAGTATAAATAAGGATATATAACCGAGTTCTGTAGCGTATGAGTACATTATCTCTGGCACATGAACTTTCTAAACGGTTTAATGATATTTCATAAGTATATGTGATTTATAAGCGTATACAAATATGGAGTATGAGAGTATTTATCAGGCACAAGTGGTTCGAGGAGACTATGACCTTCAATAAGATATTCCACTTCCAAGTGGAAAAGTATCCTATTAACCCCAGGTAGCCAGACTGACGAATGTGACGTCTATAGGACCGCTATCTAAGGTCTTTTTTGGTCTCATACGTCTTTTGACCAAATTATGACGTCATGCGGACGTCATTAATGTGACGTCTTATGGACAGCCACTGTTTGACGTCGTATAGACGTCAATCTATGGTCTTCATATTTTTTTGGGTATAATTATCATTATTATTATCAATATCATTATCATGTATGTATAGGACAACGAAGTTATAAAATAAATTAATTAATTTATCCAAATAACTGTATAAATGTATGATAAAAATGTATTTTATTCCATAGGCTCCCCTTAATTTTCAATGTTTAAATTCAGCGCCAAAGTCAATTCTCACTTACCGACCAGATGGCCAATGGCGATCAAGTAATTATTACGCGAAGAGATTGTGTATGCGACTCGCGACCATCTCGCGACTGCCGTTGCCCGTTAGTGGCGTTAGTGCCGTTCAGCGGTCCGTTCTGTGGTTCAGCGACAAGCTTGCATCGTGCATGGTGCGTTCCCGTTCATGTTCATTGTCCATCGTCCATGTTCGAATGGGTGTTGTTTGTGAACGGCGTCTTTGCCATTGGATTTGTTAAGAATGTTAAAATGTTGAGTGTTTGAGTGGTATTTCTATACAGTCTGTTTTTCACGTGAAAGTATTCAAGATGTATTGTGTAATACAATTTGATGACAGTGGAAGCAACAGTGTAGCTGTTGTTCACGAAACTTTGCTGACGCCGTTGAAAAAGGAAGTGTTTTGGTCGCCATTTAGGGGAGCCATCGACGCTGAAATTTTTCAACTATATGTAATACCTTAGGTACATTACTATCTTGTTAATAAAATCTTCATTCGTAGCAAATTTATTTTATAGCACAAATGATTACCTTCCTCACCAGATTATAACCATTAACCTCAAAATTTTATGAAAAAAAAAAACAGACGTCTTATTGACGTCGGAAATTGGTCAGTAGTGTCAGTTTAAGGTCCAATTTGAAAACACATACTGACGTCTAAAAGACTTTCAAATATGACGTCATTTGGATGTGTCTTACTTACGTCATTTAGACGTCGCATTTGTTGAAATAAAGACGTCTTTTGGCCGAATGTGATGCCGTCAATTAGACGTCATATAGTCGTCATGTGCTACCTGGGACATTCATGCGCCTTAGTATATATGAGAAATGTGTAGGAATTCACAAATAGAATTCTATTGGGTATCGTCAGGAAAAAATAGTTCAGGATTTTAGAGTTCCACTAAGGAATTCCTTATCTAATTTAATGCGATTTCTACAAGCATTCATGTGACCCAGAATAACTGAGAATTTACGAGTTTCAATTAGACAATGAATGCCTAATCTGAAATGTGTCCAATGAGTGTTTATAAGACTGAACTAGTTCCTAGGTTTATGAGCTCAAATATGAAAACACGGTTCTAAAATTATAGGTTTCTTATCAGCTTGAATGCGGTAAATGATTATTGAGTAATCATAAGGTTTTAAAAGACAATATAGATATAATCTTAATCGTATTTCATGGGTTTTTGTGAGGGTAAAAAGTGTTCGATAAATCATGATATTCAATAGGAAACTGCTGCCCTGATTCTATCGGTTGCTAATGAGTTTGTATGTGATATATTTGGTTTCAAGTATTCGAAAGTAATAACTGATCTATAATGAAACGTATCTTATTAGTCAAGCTGAGAAAGATGTGTTCCAGAATTCATGAGTGTTGATAAGGATATACCGTTATAACTGTATTCGTATGTTATGATGTTTCATGCGTTATTTCTGTATATGGATTCACGAGTTCTGGACAATACATGCCTAATCTGAATGGTATCTTATAAGTTTGTATAAGATGTGTTAGTTCTGAGGATTTTTGAGGTTTGAAAAGACATCACTGATTTGAAATGGAATGTATCCTATGGGTCATGCTGAGGCTTGATGTGTTTCAAAACTGATGGGTGTTGATAAGGATATACCATTATGACTCCAATGGTATGTTGAGAGGTTTTATGCAGGATTGCTGTATAAGGATTCAAGAGTTTGGATTAAACAATACATGTCTGATTTGAAATGTATCTGATCAGTTTTTATGAGATATGTATCTTATGAGCAAATGTTTGTTCAAGGATTCATGAGAGTTGATAGGGATTTACCGTTATGACTGTATCCATATGTTGAAATGAATGATGCGTTATTTCTGTATGGGGATTCACGAGTTTTGATAAGATAATACATGTCTAATCTGGATGGTAACTAATTAGTTTGTACGAGATGTGTATGTTCTGAAGATTTTCGTAGTTTGAAAAGAGAAAACTGATTTGAAATGAAACGTATCCTATGGGTCAAGCTGAGGCTGGATGTGTTCCAGAATTCATGAGTGTTGATAAGGATATACCATTATGACTCCGATGGTATGTTGAGAGGTTTTATGAGGGATTCCTGTATAAGGATTCACAAGTTT